AACCAATATCTTTTAAATGTGATTTTGTAGATTCTTTAAATGATTTTCCACTAATTACATCTGATCCAACATTTGATGCAAAGTTTAACGCTTTTCGCCCTAGATATTTTCCTACTTTACTAAGAATAGGAATAGATTTACGAAATAAATCTCCAAAAAATCCATATCCTCGTTGTATTTGCTGTCCTGCAAAATAATTCCCTGTTCCTAATTGTCGTGTGAGAGGAAATTGTAACTCAGGTCTGAATATCGTTCCTCCCGCCTGATTACAGTAATAGTTTATACAATCTTTAGGATCCAGCTTCATTTTGTACTTCTCCAAGATGAACTAACATTAGCAAATAAAATTAAGCACTATTTATAATTGTTTAAAAGATAAAACTAATAATGTTTTGCCTCCAAAAAAGACAATTTCTTTTCCACCAGCGGTTCTTAACTCGATTTCGATAGTATCGATATAATTTTTCTTCAAAGGAAAATATAAAGGTGAGGGATAAACTCTAACTATTTGATCGGTCTTTTCTCCTATAACTGGTATAACTCTTAGAAGAGGAGCTGTTATATCTCCAACGTGATGAGAAGCAACAATATTTGAATAGATGAAAATTTCTGAAATTCCCGCAGACAATTCGAGTGGATATTCACTTATATATTCACCCACTGAAAATTTCTGTGTTTTAAATCCTAATAAATCTTTTAATTCGTTTCCGAATTCAATCGTTATATTTTTAGGAACTTTTAAAATGATTTTGTTATTAGGCAGTAATTCTAATTTAATATATTTAAAAATTCTGAGAAATTTATCGGCTGAGGAATATAATCCGATAGGAAATCTAATTGAAACAATGCCTAATCGAGTATTTAATGTAATTAAGTTAAATGGTGGTTACATTGGCCATTAAATTGTAAGAAAACTTTGCAATTTGAAACCTGTCCAGATAAATATGTAACAGTTTTTTGTACAAAATTTTCAAAAATATTATTTTCAGTGACACAATGTTAATGTTTGATTAAAATTCTTATTTTACAGTGTGGAAACATGTAAATCCATGTTATTTTTAATAAAACATTTGTCACTTAATGCAGCAAATTTGGGTTTCACTTTAATTTTTTCGTATCTGTATAAATTTGAAACGCACCTTAAAGTAAGAAATAAGAGAAATTTACTTTCTTTACCTATTTTACACAAATACTTGTTAATTATAAATATTTATCAATTATCAATATCAGCAAAATACTTCACTTAAAGTTTTATTCTACTTGATTCTTAATTAGAATAAAAAATAATATTGATAAACCAAATTAATAAAACATTAATATTATATTTTAATAAAAACCTACAATTTTTAATTCAATACTTTAATAACAGTACATTTGTTGAAACAGAATCTTACCATTTCCAAGACTTCACATAATCATCTACAGAACCTGTAATAACATAATCTATTCCATCTTTCTCTCCTTTACCACAAGCACATGACCATATTCCATCATCATGAGCTAAAAAATTTCAAAAAAATTAAATGCTTTTCATATTTATTGTTCAAAACATAAAGAAATTTAATAATCATTTTCTTAATATATCTTATCATATGTTTTGAGATAAATAAATCTATTTTCTAAATTAAATTTGTAGAACATGAATGGCCAACATATGGCCCACTAGTCACTAAAAAATCCTTTTATTAATTAATTAATATTTTTGCATGAAAATATATCAATTTATCAAATGCTTTGATAATGAAAGTGAAATTTTACATGAAATGGCAATGCATCTGCTTAATGTGCAGATGCATTGCTAGTTATGCTACCCAGACCTCCACATGACCCTTTGCATCCAGACATTTAATTTAGATATAACCATCCACAGTTACTTATTATGCCAACTGGAAACAACTCCTATGCCCGCAGCCTATAATCACCCATCACACACACTATGATAAGGTAAAGTAATAGCCAGTTGAGCACAATAGTGGTCAGTCAGCTTGGGTATAGGAGTTGTCCCCAGCTGGCACTGAAAGTAACCATGAATGGTTATATCTACATTAAATATGGCTGGAAGCAAAAGGTCAGGCAGAGGTCTGGGTAGTGTAACTGGCAACGCATCTACATGGTAAATGGGAGTTGCAAATTCAAGACCCACTCTTGGCCGATTCTTTTCTTCCAGAATATTCTAAATTATTTAATGAATATTAATTTAATTATAATTATTAAATTGAATAAGAAAAGGCATCTAATGCTTACTTCTAATAGCAAATTACTTAAAATTTAATTATTAATTAATAACAATGGTAAAGTAGCNATTATAATTATTAAATTGAATAAGAAAAGGCATCTAATGCTTACTTCTAATAGCAAATTACTTAAAATTTAATTATTAATTAATAACAATGGTAAAGTAGCCCAATTAAATTATGGCAATTGTTTAGTTTATTATTGAAACATCGGGCTTTGAAATGTTTATGGATGGACAAAGTCAGATTTTACTGTAGGTGATAAAGCTTTATCACATACATCAACTTGATTCAATCATATCTCCAAGAGATGAAGAATAAAACTGAAATAATTATTTGAAAAAAGAAAGATATTTCCACCAAGTCTTCTGATGCTAATTTTCTTGAACTGAACCTGATGTAAACTAGTATTTGAAGACTTGGTAGGGATGCAACTGTTCTCTGAAAAGGGAGTGCATGGTAACAAATCTATAACAAAAAAAAAGCAAATGAGATTTGGAATAACCTTCCTCAAGTTTTGATTGAACAATCATTTTAAGTAAGTTTCACAAAACCTTTTTACACATTTTCTAGCAGTTTTTTGAGAGAACAAACGTTTTCGGCCATGTTTAATGGCCTTCTTCAGGTTCTATAGCAGGGCTTCTTAAACTATGGGTCACGACCCCATTTTGGGTCACTGAGCAAAATCTTGGGGTCACGAGATTTTAATGCAAAATATTGAAAATAATTTGTGAGAGTTTGAAAATGGCATGCTTTGTTTCTTAGATTTCGTGAGTAGCGCTTTGTATCACTTCTGGTGCAGCGAGACAACAATTCAGCAACACTGTAGTGTGAACTAGTGTAGTGTTGGCGCTTTTCAGTGTATTCAGTTGTCTCTGTTCCACTGTTACGTAACACAAGAGTGAACTGTGGTAGTACACCATTATTGTTTTTGCAAATTTGTATATATATCTTTACTTTATATTTTTTGGGTAGCAAAAAAAATCACAATCATAAATGGGGTGGTAAATAAAAAAAGTTTAAGAAGCCCTGTTCTATAGCATTGTCACTTAACAAAAATTCAAAAGGTGTTATTGTTTATAGAAAGTTTCCTGTTTCTTATGATGTCATTGTTCTCTCAAGAAACTGCTAGAAAATGTGTAAAAAGGTTTTGTGAAACTTATTTAAAGAAGTTCTAGCTTTCCGTGCATGAAATCATTTTAAGATTGAAAATAATGATACAGAACGAAAATGTTCTGTTCCCTTTTGTGCATGAGTATGGACATGTGCAATAAATGAATTGAACAAAACATAACACTTAGGTAACGAAAGTGAACAGAGTCATTGCACATGTGCATGGACATATCTGACTGACACAAAAGTCCTAACCTAAGTACTTATGTGAAGTGTCAAAACAAAACAGAAGAAGTCAAGCTTAATTAAACACTTCAAAAACTATGCAATGCAACTAAGAGAGTGCTTCCATCAATGCTAACTCACTGACCTAATCTACACACACACATACATATATACATATTAAAAACAGTTCTAATGTTTTCATTTAGGACATATTTTGTCTGTTAAATTGAATGCCTACAGTACATTAGACTTAAAGTCTATATTTAAAAACACTATTACTACTATTATTAGTTTGTAAAATAAATTTTAGATTTACCTTGTTCTTGTTTGAATATAATGGAATACTGCAAACATTAAAAAATANTGTAGAAAAGGCAAAAAGTCATGAATTTTCTGTTGTTTGTTGATAATGGAATTTGGAGTCCCTTTGGAGATTAGGAAAAAAGGCAATCCTGACAAACGGGGACACGTGCTCCAATTAGAGGCACCTCTGATTCAGTTCTTGGTTGTTATTACAATTCTATCAAAAATTTGATTTTTGACACTATGTTTTTAACTTTTTACCTAACTTTTCAATTTAGTCAATATTTATATACATAAACTGAATATTAAAAAAACCATTTTGTTTTGTGTGTTGAAAAATAAACTGATCTTTAGAAAAGGATTGATTTTTATTACTGTATTTTCATTTGGGTAACTAACTCAAAACTGGAAACAATTTAAATAAGCAATACAACATTGGTATTCCAGAAGATTATTTTTGAAAGAAATTTTAACTGCCAAACACTCAAATATTCTCAAAATCTCAAACACACTATTGCTATTCATTTTTTTTTTTGTTTTTGTGACTAGTTTTTTTGCATAAATGTGAGAAATTTTTCAGTCTCAGTCATATTTTTGACATAGTTTGGTTAATATTTTTATTATAAGGAAACATTTTGTTAAAACCCATGTACTCAATTTGATTATTTTTAATTTTATAAAATGTATAAATTTTTAGTGGTATCAAATCTGTTTTCTAAGCAAATTTTCTTAAGATAACTTTCTGACCTTGAGGTGAAAACTGGCTTTCTGCCGCATTTATTTTTTCTTTTTGGATTCAGATCTTGATTTGATTCAACTTGTTTTTATCAGTAGTATGCTAGCTTCAGACACCTTCAACCTTCGTGAAATTTCATGGTTGGAATACATTTTTGTATTAATGAGGGCTTTTTTACGTGGTGAAAGGTTCCCCTTTTGCCCATGTCAAAAGATAACAATTGATCATATCTGGTTGGTAAAAACACTGCTATCGAAGAAAACAAACACTTGCATAATTATATACCACGAAATAAATACAAGAGGTGAACAGAAACACATCCACACCAGTAGCAATTGAGAACGCAACTGAAACACATTTGTAGTTGTACATTACACTTTAGTGTCTAAGCTCTGATACCTTCCAATAAATTAATATTGTAATGAAATATAACAAAAATAGATATACAATGACATTAAAAAATAAGTTTTGTTTATCAAAATTATGATTTATAAGATACACCAGATTGGGTATAAAGCATGTAATTATGAAAAATCTGTAGTGTGTCTAATAATTTGGCCAGGGACTGTAGTCATCTTGACAAGTAGCCGGAAAGGGAGGTGCGACCGTCCTCGACCTCCCTGGCAGTTCACGAGTGAACGTTGGGAAACTGTGGATGTATGCAACCTGGTATATATGAATTAGCTCAGTGGCAAGTGCTTGTGTAGAAGATGAATGTGAAAATGCTTTCCTAATTAAAGCATTGAATGCCACTAATTTATACGGGAAGGGGTCACACAATCCCACAGGTATGCATATGGATGTAGACTTTGGTTTGTGGTAGATGGATGTGAGGATGCACTTCTCCTCGACTCTGATATTTATGTCAAGGAAGTGGACCTCCTTGTGGCTGGCTTGTTCGAGCTCTAAGGTTAAGCCAAAAGGGTTATCATTATGTTGAAAGGGATATCATTCAGCCTTTGTCTACACTTTTAATTTTATTCAGTTGATACGTGTTCATTGTATTTGTACACGTTTTGGGCATTCCTTGCCCCTCCTCAGTCAACTAAAATAAAAGTTCACAAGTTACAACAGTATAAACAAACATATAAGGTCATGTTTTTCAAAACATATCAACTGAATAAAATTTAATGATGAGATTTGCCAAGTGTCTGAATAAATACAATAAATGATTTGTGTTTGAATTACCCTGTATATTCATTAAAAAATTAAACTTTTTAACAATACCATTATATGCTGAAGATATATTATAACTTATTATTGATCTTTATGACTATCTTTGGATTTAAAAACAAAAAGATTAAGAATGATAGACACTCTACAATTCCATCAAATTACAATGCTGGATTTTCTGGGTTTTGAGTTTTTTTTAATATATTGTATTAAATCAAGTTCAGTGGCACCCACAGACTATAAAAAAAGCACAAATAATTATATAAAGGGAAAATTATTAGCAAATAATACATTATGCAATAAGCTACAAACTATGATTCAATGTCAGATCAGCACTCCCACAAAGTGGTGCTAGTTGGTTTACAAAGGATACTTGAAAACAAGTAATATTCCTTGTCCTTGTCAAGTTTTGGTCAACATATGACAAAACTGCATGGGACAATGGATAAATATCCACTCAACAGTGAGGGACGGATATATCTGTCCAGGGCGATCGTGTGGCAATGGTGAAGGATGGATACATCCATTAAATTCTTTTGGGAATATTACCAAACACTAGCCAAAAACTACTGCAAAAAAATTCACATAAAAAATGAATTATGTAACAATAAAAAAAAAGACTTTTCTTTACTAGACATAACTATTTACAAAATCTTTTTCCACAATGGTAAAGAGAAAAAACACATGGAAAAATATTTTAAAAATTTCCCACATTTATTCTCCAGTACTTTGGGGTAGCACCATACCTCACTATCCCACTGCTGAAAGGATATCATACATATCTTCTTTTATATTTGTAGAAAAGGCAAAAAGTCATGAATTTTCTGTTGTTTGTTGATAATGGAATTTGGAGTCCCTTTGGAGATTAGGAAAAAAGGCAATCCTGACAAACGGGGACACGTGCTCCAATTAGAGGCACCTCTGATTCAGTTCTTGGTTGTTATTACAATTCTATCAAAAATTTGATTTTTGACACTATGTTTTTAACTTTTTACCTAACTTTTCAATTTAGTCAATATTTATATACATAAACTGAATATTAAAAAAACCATTTTGTTTTGTGTGTTGAAAAATAAACTGATCTTTAGAAAAGGATTGATTTTTATTACTGTATTTTCATTTGGAATATTTTGTTGCTGTATTCTAAAAGTATTGACAAAATATTCATATTCTTACTACGACAAGTTTTGTGTTGCTTTATAAATATAATTATCAAAATTATTTCTTATAATAAAACTGTTTTGTAGTAGTAATGAGCAATATATGCTTTGCATTTTAATAAATTTTACAACTTAATTTTAATTGAAAAGTATTAAATTTTCAATATATAATGTTATTCTACAAAAAATAATTTTTAGCGGTATATCCCACTTATCGACATCAATGCTATTATTATTTCATTACTCAGCCAACTTTTCAAAACAACTTACCATGTTGCTTTTAAAATTCGCTACATAATAGAGGGCAGCACAGATTAGTGTAAATAAACTGAATTTATTGCATTTGTGAGATACAACTTAATTGTGAATTAATAATTTATTAATTTATTTCATTAAATATTATAAATAAATAATTACTTCTCACTTTAAAAAATTGTCTTTATCTCAAATGAAAATAATAAATAAAAGTAAGATAAAAAAATTTTAGCAAGTGTGAATTTAAAATTTTCATTGTTAAAATATTGTAATAAAACATTTGCTTTTTTTTTTAAACCACTAAGGCAAAGTAATCAGGTACAAATGTGTCATATTTGTATACAGAGCGCTCAATCTATAATTTTGAAAAAAGCTGCTATATCATAGTCAAAAAACCTGGCAGCCAAAATTTTAATCAAAACACGATTATTGACAATTTTAATGGGAATCCTCTAGGTGAGATGCACTCAAAAATGATGTTATATCATATTTAACAATTTATTTTATTTTATCACATCCGTTTTGTCCTTTTCATCTGATGTAAAATGTTCCCGTTTACACGTTCTAAAACAATACACAAATTCTTTAAAAACACAACAAAAATGTATTTGAACTTTAATTTCTCCACAATTGAGTGACACTCTGGCACCCGACAATTAATTAAACACAACACTGGTTCTTTACCAGGCACACAACTACACACTCTGGTCAGCACTGACCCGACACACCAAAGGGAAGCGCACAATTTTTCCCTCTATAGGCGGGAAAATCTCACCCGGCATTCTTAGGGATACGAAACATACCTGACACATGTGACAATTTTGTTTAATTGTATATCGAACTTAACATCATCAATTTTTACTTGTTATACTAACACAATACAGCGATTCCCGGCCGGATGGCCAAGTGGTCAAGGTGGAAGGCTGTCAATCTGGGGGACACTCATAACGAATCCAGACGGGTCGAAACATCTGCAGAAACTTTTCGGAAACTAGTCCATCCTTCACCGCCCAGCCGCACCATTGAGGGCCTGGCCGAACTCATAACGGGCTTGCTATATTTATTAAAGCAATCAACAATTTATTTCCAATCAATAATTAAATCACAACTAAAAGTATTGTATGACGTATTAGTATTGATTGACGTATTACGGGGACACTAAGGCTTTTTTTAACCATCCGACCAACAAAAAATTTGGAATGCTTCATGATTTTGTATGTCATCCTTGTGCAGAGGCAAAACTAATCTTCTCCATATCGTTCCAATTTTAAAATATATACCGTACGATTGAAGTTGTACTGTATAATTAATCTATGAATTCAAAATTAACAATTATCCGTTGTTCCTTCTACTTGACAAATTTAAAAAGCTAATAAATAAAGAACGATATAAAAATGTAGGTAATTAAGGAAATTTTAAGATAATTGAGTAACTTTCTCCGAAAACAAAACTACGGGAGGCACGTACAGTGCGTTGATACCTCTGCATCTGCATTGAGCAGCATGGGGATCCATCCATATTCTCAAAACCCTGGATATACCACTGAGAAACAATGCTTTTAAAGATTGATAATTGGAAGCATCGATGAAGAAGGGAAAAATGCCAAAAACAATGCACTCGTAGACAACACCCTGAAAAAGCTAATTGTCCGCGTAAAAGGCGGACGAAAGCTCTGTGTACAGCATATCAAGAAAGTAATCTCGATGGCCAATTAAGCGGATATCTGAGATTCAGTGGCGTGCCGTCATTGGAAGCGGTGGATGCGCCGCTTCCCTTGTATTTTCTAAAAAAATAAATACATATTAATTTTAATTATATGAAAATAATCGCACAATATTTTATTATAACCGCATTATGTATCTTATTACAAATTTCTATACTACACATGAAAAAAAAAAGATAAGATTGCTATTGTATATTCGAATATTAGTGGCGGAGTGGAAGCGCTGTATTGTCAGTATCAAAAAAAAAGCCAGATTCACGCATGCGCTTTACAGAGCACCAACCTCACCCGGTTTAGCTGGTGAAAGCCTAGGACCTTGGGTGGATGCTACATGTATAACGTATCCAATTCTATCCAGGACCGGTTCTGGACTGTTAGCTGCCTGCCCGCTAGATATTTGGCCGCTTTCGCCCGATTACGTGAATCACGAATATATTTATAACTTAGCCCTACCGATAAGAATTTACTGGTATGTTTTTATGATAGTTCTGTATAGTTGACAGGAGTTTTAAAAAATCCATTAAAATATTTGATATTTTTATTCCGCTCTCCGATTTTATATTTGTATGTCCCATCTATAAGGGGATGTAGAAGAAAACGTGTACAATTCTTGTATAATGTTAAAAAATAAACTGTTGCTTTGGTAGAATCATTTACAACTAAATTTTATGAATGAGAGAGATGCACGAGGTACAGAAAAAGCTCTAGAATTTATTTTCCTTACATTTACGATTTATGTATCCGTTTGTCATAAAAATTTGTCTTTCCACTTTTTCCGAGACTACAAATATTCGAGTACAAAGTAACTGGTTTCGACTTATTTCTACTTAAGTAGTAGTTAAATAATTAAGCGATTAGGGAATTGGGGACATAAACAAAACCCTGATGAAAGAGCCGAAATTTTACTTAACGCCTCGTTGATCACCTTTGAGAATTTTTACGCCCTAGGAAAAAAAGAGCGACATTATAAGCCGGAAGCCACTAATTCAACTTCAAGTGGGACTTCAACCACTGGACACGATTATATCAACCGAAGATGTTGATAATTTTCCTTCCCTGTCACCGAAGATAGCTGCTTTTGGGTTTTGTTCTAACATCGTTTTTTTCCCTACACCTACAGCGCACAGTGGGACCAAATCCCAAAAAGCTGGCCAAAAGTCGAAAAATAGAGTTTAAGTTCCGGTAATTTCTAGTCGTGGGTTCGGTTGGATAAGAGNAAAATACTGTGCCTTTGTTCTATAATATTGATTTTAAAAGAATTATTTGTTGTTATTTTTTAAAAAGTAATCATATTTCAAATACTCTATTTTACCACTAATAAATTCTTACGTTTAAAGGTCACATTTTTGAAATTTCAAACAAAAAGCTTAAAAAGAAGAAGTTTCTATTTTGTTTGTACAGTATTTGTTTCTTTTGAAAGCTGGATGAATAGTCCACAAACAATGAAAAGAATAAAAGGTTTTTTTTTTCTCATTTTAAGAATTTTATTCTCATATACAAATTATTATTCATTTAATCATAACAGACAAATCAGAGGTTAAATTTTTAAGTTTAAAAATAGAATTTATTATGAAAATAATAATAAATTCTAATATTAAAAAAAATACTTAAAAATTTTAAAGCTTAAAGGAAGAAAGCAATAATGTCTAAATTGACTCCTCAAACTTTTCTGAATTTCAACTCCAAGAATTTGTCAACCTTTTACAGTATTGACTCTCTTTTTGTTTTCTAATATAGTTAGTAATAATAATAGGTCTTATTTTCAGAGAAATATGGTATTAACCAGAAAATAAACCCTAGCATGATTTTTCAGGATGCTCATAATGTAAGCCTTCCCCTGAAATAATTCAGTTAAGATCATAAGCAAGATGGTCATATTTAATATGTTCATTGCAACCAACAATGGATATATTGAATTATAAATTATAATTAAGTATTTGTAAATAACCAAGTCAAGCACTTTTGAATGAGACATTCACTGAAAAAGATCTAATAAGACACGATTTTTGGGGAAACGTAATAATTAAATCCGATGATACAATAATTAATCTCCACACACTGTTTTTATAGAAAAGATCAACTTAGTGTGCAAATTCACAAGATCCTGAAATGTCGTATAAATAACTCACTGGTTTAATGAACTGTTTTCAGTCTTCCAGAGATGCCTTACGGGGACCCCTAATCTAAATGAATGAACTTGAATTACTAATCACAATAATGTTCACACATTTTTGAGGTTACTGTTTTACATGCAATAAATTTTAAAGTATCTGTTTTTTTAATCAATAGTTTAATGATATATATGTTATTGCTTTCTTCCTTAAATAAATAAAAAATTGTTATCATTTATCAAATTATATAGAAATAGATAATAAAAAAGAGTTTACTTAGTGATATATAGATATAAAAGGAGACAATATTTTAATGATATATATATATATATCATTAAAATATTGTCTCCTTTTATATCTATATATCACTAAGTAAACTCTTTTTTATTATCTATTTCTATATAATTTGATAAATGATAACAATTTTTTATTTATTTAAGGAAGAAAGCAATAACATATATATCATTAAACTATTGATTAAAAAAACAGATACTTTAAAATTTATTGCATGTAAAACAGTAACCTCAAAAATGTGTGAACATTATTGTGATTAGTAATTCAAGTTCATTCATTTAGATTAGGGGTCCCCGTAAGGCATCTCTGGAAGACTGAAAACAGTTCATTAAACCAGTGAGTTATTTATACGACATTTCAGGATCTTGTGAATTTGCACACTAAGTTGATCTTTTCTATAAAAACAGTGTGTGGAGATTAATTATTGTATCATCGGATTTAATTATTACGTTTCCCCAAAAATCGTGTCTTATTAGATCTTTTTCAGTGAATGTCTCATTCAAAAGTGCTTGACTTGGTTATTTACAAATACTTAATTATAATTTATAATTCAATATATCCATTGTTGGTTGCAATGAACATATTAAATATGACCATCTTGCTTATGATCTTAACTGAATTATTTCAGGGGAAGGCTTACATTATGAGCATCCTGAAAAATCATGCTAGGGTTTATTTTCTGGTTAATACCATATTTCTCTGAAAATAAGACCTATTATTATTACTAACTATATTAGAAAACAAAAAGAGAGTCAATACTGTAAAAGGTTGACAAATTCTTGGAGTTGAAATTCAGAAAAGTTTGAGGAGTCAATTTAGACATTATTGCTTNTTTTCTATAAAAGTGGTTCGTGTTAAATCCGTCATTTTGTTTTTATTTCAAATTTTGACTTCGGATTCGTAATCAGCGATCCCGAAAACCCTCGAATACTGACTTTCAGCCAAATTGATAACGCTTTTGACTTTTGGCCAGCTTTTTGGGATTTGGCCCCACTGTGCAGCGCCTGCCCATGGCTGGCAAGGAACAGACCGGAAAAATTTCCCCTCAACCAACAACCAGCGGGAGGTGAAAACCTAAACCTACCCTCAGAGAGCAACGCTCCGAAGCAACCCAGCCCAATGGAACAATAAGCCAATCGTTCAATTATATTAGGAGTACCTCGACAACGAACAATGAAAAACATATTGTTAATCTTTTTGAATTTCTTACATTATTTTTTCTCTAAGTTCGTATACACCCATAAACTATTTGTTTACACGATTCAAATATTTTCGCCGTGGACGCTGTCCCGTATTTGACAATACAGCGCTTCCATTGGGAATATGCATATACGAATTTATATACAATAGCAATCTTATCTTTGTTTTACACATGTATATAAATTTGTAATAAAATACATAATGCGGTTATAATAAAATATTAAGTAATTCAAAGTGCACTAATTAAAATATGAAAACAATCGCACAATATGTGTTTATATTTTAGAAAATACAAGAAAGTGGCGCTTCCACCTCTTCCACGCCCCTGCTGAGATTGTACAGACATAAATTTTACTGTTCTGGAGAGCTCGGGTTCGATTCAAATTTTTACAAGTAGTGAAAATGTTGACCAATGTGTAAAAGGACCTGTTATTATCTTGGAGCGGAAAATTAAAATTGTTGCTACAAACTGTAGCCTTTACAGTACGTGATACACATTTATGCTGATATTTGTCGTTTTTGTTCCACTTACCAATGCATGGGCATTACGAGGACCGTTATTCGTGTTAATCAAGTGTTTAGTTTATCCATACAGTGTTATGTCGGATTGGATATGGGACCTGACTACCCGGAAATTTCTTGAGTATCTGACAATTTTTTTCGGTACCAGTTTATGATCGTACTAGTTTGTACTAGATGTACTAGTTTAAGTAATGGCCGTTCAAATAAAATTTGTATTGACTTAATAAAGGTTTCTTCTTTCAATTGGCAAGCGCCAAATCCGACAGAGGGCGCTGTTTTTGAGCCAAGATGGCTGCCGAAACAGGTAAGGAGCTGACCACGTGTTTGTTCAGTGTTTGAGCCGATTCAGTTTCTATCGGTGGCGACTACTGCGAGGACCAAATGAAGAACGAATCATTGAATTTATGTCAAATTCTAGACTATATCGGCGACAGGAAACGTCTT